CACTCCAGCCTGAGTGACAGAGTGAGACTCTGACCCCCGCCCTCCCCTGCAAAAATTACAAATGCATATACCCGTGCAGTAGTTTTAAAATATGCAGATAAATCCTTTAGGTCTCTCTTCCCTTCAAGAGGAGAATCCTGTTCTCATTTGTTTAGCAGCAAATAAAGAATAAAAGAAGTTGAAGACTGAATTTCCTTCCCTTGGGTGTAAGGCTGTACTTAGAGATTTGCTTCTGTTTTGTTTTTGGTTTCTTTTGGTGAGAAAGCAGGAGTTTGTTAAGAAGACAAAAAAGCTCCCAAGTAGGAGGGGACCTGAAAGAAGGTTGCCCAACACTCATTTCTAATGAAATGAATAAAGAAAAAGTAACAGTGTATGACTTCTGAGACTAGGTCATAAAAGGCATTGTGGCTTCCATTTTGTTGTCTCTCTCAGATCACAGGTTTTGGGAAAAAATAGTAGTCATGTCTTAAGGACACTCAAGCAGCCCTGTAGGAAGATCAATATGGTAAGGAACTGAGGACTTCTGCCAACAGCCAGGAGGAAACTGAGGCCTCCTGCTAACAGCTTCCTGCATGAATCATCTTGGAAGCAGACCTGCAGACCACAGTCAAGTCCTCAGATGACTACCACTCTGACTAATCTGATTGCTAGATTGCAACTTCGCAAGAGATGCTGGGCTAGAATCACCCAGCTAAGCCACTATCAGACTCCTTAGAAACTGTGTGAGGTGAATACTTGTTCTTTTAAGCCACCAAGTCTTGGAGGCAATGTTATACAGTGACACAACACTTTACCCTTTACCCTAGCACTTCGGGGGGATTTATGCTACAGGAATAGAAATAACCCCTACTCTCTGAACTCTCACTATCCAAGCTTAGTAACTGATGTAAACTTTTTGATGAATCTCTTACTGACCAAAGTTTTAGTACTTACTATCAGAAACTTAAGAACCAAATATCTTCAGATAACGTGGATTCCCTTGTTTTCTGATTTATTTATTTATTTATCTTTTTTTCTTTTTTGAGTTGGAGTCTCACTCTGTCGCCCAGACTGGAGAGCAGTGGCTGCTTCCGGCCACCGCAGCCTCGACCTGCTGGGCTCCGGCGATCCTTCCGCCTCTGCCTTCTGAGTAGCTGGAATTACAGGCGCGCGCTACCATTCCCGGCTGATTTTTTTATTTATTGTAGAGATGAGGTTTCGCCACATTGCCCAGGCGGGTCTCGAACCCGCGGGCTCAGGCAATCCACTCACCTCAGCCTCCCAAAGGCGCGGGATTACAGGCTGAGCCACTGAGCCCGGCTATTTTTTTCTTTTTTTGAGTTGAAGTCTCACTCTGTTGCCCAGATTGGAGTGCAATGACACGCTCGCGGCCACCACAGCCTCGACCTGCTGGGCTCCGCGATCCCTCCGCTCAGCCTTCCAAGTAGCTGGAACTACAGGCGTGCACTACCATGCCCGGCTAATTTTTTTATTTATTGTAGTTGCCCAGGCGGGTCTCGAACCCGCGGGCTCAGGCAATCCACTCACCTCAGCCTCCCAAAGGCGCGGGATTACAGGCTGAGCCACTGAGCCCGGCTATTTTTTTCTTTTTTTGAGTTGAAGTCTCACTCTGTTGCCCAGATTGGAGTGCAATGACACGCTCGCGGCCACCACAGCCTCGACCTGCTGGGCTCCGCGATCCCTCCGCTCAGCCTTCCAAGTAGCTGGAACTACAGGCGTGCACTACCATGCCCGGCTAATTTTTTTATTTATTGTAGTTGCCCAGGCGGGTCTCGAACCCGCGGGCTCAGGCAATCCACTCACCTCAGCCTCCCAAAGGCGCGGGATTACAGGCTGAGCCACTGAGCCCGGCTATTTTTTTCTTTTTTTGAGTTGAAGTCTCACTCTGTTGCCCAGATTGGAGTGCAATGACACGCTCGCGGCCACCACAGCCTCGACCTGCTGGGCTCCGCGATCCCTCCGCTCAGCCTTCCAAGTAGCTGGAACTACAGGCGTGCACTACCATGCCCGGCTAATTTTTTTATTTATTGTAGTTGCCCAGGCGGGTCTCGAACCCGCGGGCTCAGGCAATCCACTCACCTCAGCCTCCCAAAGGCGCGGGATTACAGGCTGAGCCACTGAGCCCGGCTATTTTTTTCTTTTTTTGAGTTGAAGTCTCACTCTGTTGCCCAGATTGGAGTGCAATGACACGCTCGCGGCCACCACAGCCTCGACCTGCTGGGCTCCGCGATCCCTCCGCTCAGCCTTCCAAGTAGCTGGAACTACAGGCGTGCACTACCATGCCCGGCTAATTTTTTTATTTATTGTAGTTGCCCAGGCGGGTCTCGAACCCGCGGGCTCAGGCAATCCACTCACCTCAGCCTCCCAAAGGCGCGGGATTACAGGCTGAGCCACTGAGCCCGGCTATTTTTTTCTTTTTTTGAGTTGAAGTCTCACTCTGTTGCCCAGATTGGAGTGCAATGACACGCTCGCGGCCACCACAGCCTCGACCTGCTGGGCTCCGCGATCCCTCCGCTCAGCCTTCCAAGTAGCTGGAACTACAGGCGTGCACTACCATGCCCGGCTAATTTTTTTATTTATTGTAGTTGCCCAGGCGGGTCTCGAACCCGCGGGCTCAGGCAATCCACTCACCTTGACCTCCCAAAGTGCGGGATTACAGGCTGAGCCACAGAGCCCAGCCTGTTACTACCTTTTTAAGATCATGAAGAGTATTACATTGTTGAAAGCACAGAACAATTACCACTCAATTCAGTTTTCGACTAGCATATAAATATAGATTTGACTTGAACTATCCAGACAATCATAGAATAAAATAATAAGAGTCAATGATAAACACAACTAAAATGTCAAAACTTTCAAAGTCAAGTACTCATATCATGATTTTCATTGTTTCTTTGCATAGTTATTCTAATTATGCTTTATAGAAATGATCACTCTACTAATTGTGTTCTCATGTATTATAATTTTATTTGAAACGTTCATAAAATTTCAGAGATTTAAAAAAAAAAGTTTACTGGCATCCAAAATTAGCCCCACAGCACAATCACCTGGGGAACTACCAAACAAGACCATCAGGTTCCACCACAGATCTACCAAATGAGAACTTTGTTGGGGTAAAAATTATTTACAAATAACAAAATCAACCCTGACTCAAAAAAAGAAAAAAAAAATCAGAACTTTGTTGGGGTGGGGGGCCTGAACTGAGAAATGTACTTAAAACAAAACCAAGCTCAAAAATGAAAGAATAAAAATCTTCCTAGGCTGATTCTGATGTATTTGGGATCCAATGATCTAGTCCACTCTCTGCTCCTTTGAACACATGAAGAAACTAGGATCTAAAGTGGTGAAGTTTAAAAATATCTAAAACCAATGAAAAACAGAGCTAGCACTTGAACATTCATCCCTGAACCCCCAGTCTAGTCTCCTTTTTAAAAAAAAAATTTTTTTTTGTAGAGACAGGGTTTTGTTGTGTTGCCAGGTTGGTCTCAAACTCCTGTCCTCAAGCAATCCTCCCACCTAAGCCTTCAAAAGTGCTGGGATTAGCTGGGCTCAGTGACTCAGCCTGTAATCCTGTGCTTTGGGAGGCTGAGGTAAGTGGATTGCCTGAGCCTGCAGGTTCGAAACCCACCTGGGTAACTTGGCGAGACCTCATCTCTAAAATAAATTAAAAAATTAGCTGGGCGTGGTGGCACAAGCCTGTAGTTTCAGCTACTGGAAGGCTGAGGTGGAAGACTCACCGGAGTCCAGCAGGTCGAGGCCGTGGTGGCCGGGAGTGGCCACTGCACTCCAGTTTGGGTGACAGAGTGAGACTCCAACTCAAAAAGAAAAAAAAAAAAGTGCTGGAATTATAGGTGTGAGACAATGTGCCTGCCCCCGTCTCCTTTTCTCAACTCCCCTTGACACAGCTGACTGTAAAGGACTCAAATGAAAAAGGATGTAGCCGGGCTCGGTGGCTCAGTCTGTAATCCTGCGCCTTTGGGAGGCTGAGGTGAGTGGATTGCCTGAGTCCGCGGGTTCGAGACCCGCCTGGGCAGCGAGACCTCATCTCTACAATTAAAAAAAAAAAAAAAAAAAAATCAGCCAGGCATGGTAGTGCATGCCTGTAATTCCGGCTACTTGGAAGGCTGAGGTGGAAGGATCGTTGGAGCCCAGCTGGTCGAGGCTGCGGTGGCTGGGAGCGGCCACTGCACTCCAGTCTGGGCAACAGAGTGAGACTCCAACTCAAAAAAAAGAAAAGAAAAGAAAAGAAAAAGGATGTAACATAATGTTACACAGAACTTTTATCCTTTCTTTGTCAATACTGGGACCTAAAATAGTTTGAATTTTCAGGTCCTTCCTTTTCTTTCACTCGACATTCATTAAGACTTTCTTGTTCCTCTTCATTTTTCAGCTATGGAAGACAATTGTACCTTTGTCTAATGGTTTATAAAATATTTTGTATATTTTTATACTTTTCCCAGAGCAGGGGTGTAAACTATAGTCTGCTGCCCCTGAAAATTCCAGTGGACTAAAACAAGGGGTATGACCTCTGGGCCAAATCTGTTTACCTGTTTACCTGTCTTTGTGAATAAAGTTTTACTGAAACACAGTCATATCTGTTCATTTTCATAGTGTCTATGACTGTTTACTTACTACAATGGCAGAGTTAAATAGTTGTGATGCTATCTGGTTCTTTACAAAAAAAGGTTGCTGATTCTTGTCTAAGATCATGAAAATTACCTTCTGTTATTAAGGATAGACACGTTAATAATAACTTCTTTTTAGTTACATGGTGATGGTGATTATCATGATAGTCAATTCTTCTGGTGGATGTGATAATTAGCAATAAATAGCTAAAAGATAGAAAGGGGAAAAGGGAGGAGGAACAAAAGACTGACAAAATATCTGCAAACATATCCAGGATCTATCTGCATGATAAATATTACAGATGTATGAAATGGGAGAGCCATCCTGGGTCTGAACAGACACCAGGTGAGATCCTGTCCTGCCTCCCAGCCTACCTGTTCTGCTAGCCAGGCAATGTGCTTGACCTCCTTGCTGCCTCCTGCTGTACTGGTTGCACCAAGCATGGCATTGAGTTCAGCCAACACCTGTGGGAGGAGAGCCATTATGTTGGTGTGGATAGCTACAAACCAGGAGTGTGCTGTGGCTGTATCCTTGCAGCGCAGGATCAACGTGTTCCTGCTATCAGGAGAATGTAGTTCTATCAATCTGTATGGAAAAAGAAAAAAAAAAAAAGCAAGAAGTTATCAAATCTGCCAGAGTTTCACATATATAACTGCAAATCTATTTTAATGCTGCATTCCTCAGACATATTTGCATACTCAATTTATAAAGATACTTTCTCTTAATTCCCTGGAGTCCAATTCCAAAAAAAACCACATATGGAAAGATAATCATCAGAAATACCAACCACTGGATCTGTTGTTTCAGTGTGTTAATGTAATGAGCTAAGATGAGGGAAACTATTGTATAGTCCAGAGTAGAATACTTCATGTTTCCTTAATTTTCATGTCAAAGAAATGGAAAGCATCCTTGCTGAACCTCACAGGCACATTGTAAAGAAGGAATTGATAATCTTTTAAACACTGAGGAAATTTTGGTATAAGGTAGTGCCAGGTTAAAAAGACCTACTGCCAAATAATACACTGAAACTTACATTATGTGAAATAAAGAGAAAGGAAACTAGCAGAAGAATACTGCTCCCTATAAAAATTTGGAACTGTGTTTTAGTATCTGGATAACAGTACATGATTAAATCATCCACTGAGTCATGAGAGAAAAATAGTTAAGGGATCTTTAACACCGTGACTGTGCTGTATTAGTTAATACTCACTGAGAACAATCTATGCTTCCAAAGTAACCAGTCTATATTTCAAAAGAAATTAGCTAAATTTTTTTTTTTTTTTTTGAGTTGGAGTCTCACTCTGTCACCCAGACTGGAGTGCAGTGGCCGCTCCCGGCCCCTGCAGCCTCGATCTGCTAGGCTCCGGTGATCCT